TACATACATACATACATACATACATACATACATACATACATACATACATACATACATACATCATACATATATATATATATATATATATATATATATATGCGTGTATACATGTGTCAATATGCTCATGTTTGTTCCCATATGACACAATGGCTATGTGCACATATGTGTATTCAATCTCACAGGTATGGGTATATACGATCTTGTACTTGGGTGTGTACGTGTGTGTGTAAGCATACGTATTGATGAAATGCATAAGCGTGTGTATATTCGTAGTTGTACTAGTACCTATGTGTGTATATACGTTGTATGTAGGAGGGCGGCCACGTGCATATGAGAATATCCGTGATATATATATATGTATATATATATATATATATATATACCTCCAACTGTGTTCGGTAAGGCAGAAGTAATGTATACGTGCATGTGTGGCCATGAGGAAGTGGTGCAACGGACACATTGTGATGGAAGTTCGGAATTTTATCTGCGACATTAAATATTATCCACACTCCCCATGCATTTGCTCCACACATACACACTACGCATCGGTTAATTGCGTCTTCTGCACACTATTCGAGGCCATTGCATTAGACCAAACCAAACTTACCTCTTTGTAAACTTTTGGTCGCTCTCCTTCAAGCGTTACCATTGCCATCTTCGCGTGCACCTCAGCAATGTGCCGGGCTTCAGTGAGTGCGATGACGTTACTGTCTGATTCACCAGACAATTCCATTATCTCACTCATTTGTTTGAGGGCAAGTACTTCGCTCTCTGCATGGTCCAATCAAAAGTGATTCAGTGGCTAGATATACTGCAATGCACCCACTATTATAATTCAATACAAAACGCTTTTACTGTGCGTATATCCTAAGCTTCAAAGATGTGTACGCAAACAATCACACATCAAGCAATAGATAAATTGAATTTGGTTCCAAAGATTCAGATAACTTCACACTACAGGCAAATAAGTGAATAGAGATCCCAATATGTGATATAGCACGGGTTCCAATCATTCTACACTAGGCAGTACACTACGGACAGGCACTTAACCAAAGTCATATCCAGAATAAAGAAATATACGAGGACACTACGACAGACACTTGAACCAAGTCATATCCAGAATAAAGAAACGTACTAGGACTACGAGCAGCTTGAAACTCAAACGGCGTTTGCAGGTCTTCGTCCACCTTGATGTTTGATCCACTGACGGTTCGCACAAACTTTGTCGTGGATTCGTTCAGCTCAGTTTTGGAGAACGGCTGGTACATTCACAGGGGCATTATGATCAGTGCTTGAAGTGACATCATGGGGTATAGCTACTTGACTTAAGGGGTAATTTCGTTGATAACACACAGAATAACATGGTCACGGAAAACGTTTATGAGTGGGTTAGCGAATTTGGGTAAGTGGGTATGATATGAATGAGTGCATACAATAGGGCATAGTCCTAGATCTTATAGATCAGTGCATACACTTCAGCACACAAAAATGACAGACTTGTAGATAACTCATTCACATAAATAAGATTATAACACATCACACAACTAGAACGAGCATACAAATGCGCAGCTAATTGAGACCAGACATGCGATCCACATACAGATACATACCGTCAAATTCCGACTACCCGAGCCAGTTGTGACATCTGTACCGGAACTAGCAGCCTTCACCGGAGTCGTGAGTCCCCCATGGGCCCTGTTCACCAACAAAGTCAATAAAGTCAACACCAAACGACAACGATGGATAGGTACACTACGCTTGTGAACTGTAAGTGAAAATGCTACACAGTGCTGGTGACCACATATGTTCGGTGAGGAGAGTAGAGGCTCACGACTCTTAGCACGACCGGATGAGATTCATTACTGACGTGTGTTTTATCAGAATCGGTGATTTGCTCGTAAACGTGAGAATCCCAAAGTGGTATCCATAATCAAAATAGAAAGATAGATACAAGTACTTGGGAAAAGCACTTGGGAAAGGTAGAAACAAGTACTTTGGAAAAGATAGAAACAAGTACTTGGGAAAAGATAGATACAAGTACTTGGGAAAAGATAGATACAATAGATACAAGTTTTTGGGAAAATATAGGTACAATAGATACTACTTGGAAATAGTGGAGATTGCAGCTGTTACAGTTCAATATCACCGGGGCACTGATTTGCACAAGTGCGTATCGCATACATATATGATCGACTCATAAACGAACCCATACGCCGAGAAATACACATGCTACAAACCATTACAGAAAGCATAGCAGCAAGCATAGGCACAGAAGTAGAGTAAACAGCCACGAGTAAAATAGCACGCACGAGTCATACAGTATTACAATCCCCAGTGAGTGCTTTGTCATACCGTGCTACAGTCACCAGTGTATAGTAAATGGTCAAGCCATAGATATAATAAGACATACGAGTCATACTGTGCTACAATCGCCAGTGTATAGTAAATGGAAGAGCCATGGGTATAATAAGACAAATGAGTCATACTGTGCTACAATCTCCAGTGTATAGTATATGGTCAAGTCATGGGTATAATAAGACATACGAGTCATACTGTGCTACAATCACCAGTGTATAGTAAGAGCCATGGGTATAATACGACATGAGTCATACTGTGCTACAATCACCAGTGTATAGAAATGGTCTAGCCATGGTTATAATTAGACATACGAGTCGTTCCGGGAATAGTTTGAGGCGGTTGAAAGCCTGCGAGCGGTACCAGATGCAGAACCAGGTCGTCGAAAGGGCGAAGTAGACCGCTGCGGCTCTTGTTGACCGAACTCTTCCGCGGACTTTGCACCGAAGGAATGCTGTGTAAGTGTAGATTAGACAGGTGTGGCGATGAACAGTAGTAGATGGGGAGGGTATATGTTATACACACACACACACACATATATATATATACATATACATATACATATACATATACAT